GGAAGTGCCTCGTCTGGGATGCTACCTGTGTGGACACATTCGGCGCCTCATCAGTCGCCGCGTCAGCAGCCCGGGCAAGCGCAGCCGCGACCGCCGCCGAGGGACGCAAACGCCGGCGGTATGAGGCCATCAGTCGGCGCTATCTGTTCCGCCCGGTCGCCGTGGAAACATCCGGAGCACTGGGCTCGGACAGCTGTTCTTTTTTAAAGGACCTCGGCCGACGCATCGTGCAGGTAACCGGAGACCGGCGGGACATGGAGCGCCTCATTCAGCGGATATCGGTGGCAGTGATCCGCGGAAACGCCACAGCCATACGATTAGCGGGAGCCCACGACAGACCTGACGTCAGAACTGCTGTCACCAGCTTTGACAGAAGCGGTGGCGACAGCCGTGGAAACAGCCACGACGTGGACCGCTGCAGCAGGAGCAGCTGCGGCGAGAGCAAAGATGAATGCGGCGGCGGCAGCGGCCGAGGAAGCGGCGGCGGTGGAGGTGACAGAAGCACTGGTGAGATCAGCGACGGCTGCGACAACACTGGCGAAGGGAACTGCAGCGTCGGCTGCAGCAAGGATTCAGCGACAGCTTTGCGACCCGGTCCAGTGATGCCAGTCCGTCCATCTGTGGGGAGTCGCAGTGAGGAGCCTAGCAGAAACCCCCTAGATGACCCAGACCTGGCCTACTACCTGCTGCCCCGCCGTGAGTCTCCACCGCTTACGGATGCGGACTCGCCGACGACGCAGCAGCTCGCCGAGCAGCTGTTATGCCTCTCTCCCAGCTTGGCACAGGACACGCCCCGACCGCCGCGCCCCAATGCGCTGACCGCATATGCCGCGCTCCTCGCAGAGATGCGTGAGAGCATCCGCGACCACGGCGCTGCTCCAGAACCGCTGTGAACGGTAGGCGCACAGGTGCAACTCGAAGCACACACTTCCTGCTTTCCGGGGGCTGTTGGCCAAACCCGCTTTTTTTATCGTGTGTCGTGGAATTGTCAGGTGTCATTTGTCCGCCCTTTTTAAGCACCTATGTATTTACACTATTTTTATGCTTTTAATCGGTGCAACGGGTGACGTGTTCGTCATGTGTTTTATTCGTGTTTTCTCAAAATATATATGTGAGTCAGCTTAAGTCGCTGACCTCGGGTCAGCACACTGCCGTGTATTTGGCTCCGCGCCCCGACCGGGCGGCCCAGCCGGCAGCCAGCCCCCGGGCATCACGTGACCGCCCGAGTCCGCGGCAAGGCCAACCAGCGCGGGGCTGGACAAACAGCGCCGCTACAGAGATGGTAACAGTCGGGTCAGGCCACGAAGCTGGGTGAATGAGACCATATTGCACATCATTCGATTCGCAAGGTCTTCCCGAGTCCATTGGTAGCTTTCCCGTCTCTCTAGCTCAATTTGATCGAGAGTTATTGACGAAAAACTCTTATGACCCTAGTGACGTACGAATGACGTCACGCAAGGTCAACAATGCAAAAGTGAGGCAAAAATGACTTAAATTGAACTTTAAGTAACCAGTGATGTCACTAGGCAGCTTTACCACACCATTTGTAGGCTCTCTTCCGAAATCACAATTCGAGACCATTACGGTGACGCAAAATAAGTACATTTATAGAAAGAAAACCTTCCTAATTTTTTGCATACTACTTAAACATGATCCAAAAATGTTTTTAAGTAAATAAAAATTCAAAAAAATTTGGTCCCAAAGGCATAAAAATGCAAATGAAAGGAAACTCGAGGTGTTATATATCAAAAATAGTATATATTTCAAAATTTTAAAAATGCATATTATTCTTTGTTTCAATGCAAGTTCAATGCCGTACCTATAGCATTTGGCATTTGGATAATCCGTCTTAGAGTTACAGCCCACCAAACTTGGGGCTGCAACGCAAGATCCAAAACATGTTATACACTCTAACTCAAAAACCACTCATCTGATAAGCCTGAAATTGTTACAGGAGGATTCAGAGCCCCTGATTACCCCTTAGATCAATTATCGTTAAAATCCGAGAGATGAGGGTGTCAAATTGGAAAAAAGTGGTACGATCTATCGTGGAATGCCCCAACTGTCAGCGCGCGAAAGAAAAACAAACGAGTGGCACTGCTCTCGCTGCGAGGGGAGCGCAGTGTTTGCCCGGGTGGCACTATACCCTGTGCAGACGTTCGGGGTGGAACGCTCCACCAATGTTAAAGTGTCGTGCACTGTCGGATTAGTTTATTTGTTCGGGCCGCCGGACACCTGCAGCTCTGCAGCCCTTTGTTCACCGGGAGAGTGTGAGTGACTAGGCGGCTGCACGTATGTACCACCCCGGTGACGGCACAATGGCCGCCGCGGGCCGGGCTTATCGCCAGCACTGATTCCACCGCCTGAGACCCTGCCCCCCGGCCGGCCGACCGGCTCCAGGCAGCGCTCGGCGACTCCAATTATGTACTGAAGAGAGCTCTTACCGCTCTCCTTATACCGCTGAGTTCGGTAAGAAATAACATTACCACGGTCTAGACAATAGACATGGAGGCTAAATTATACAGTCCGACGTCCGTAGTCGCACTATAGGCATGCTCTAAGCTGACAACACACGGAAGGACGTTTCCTGACACTGGAGAGTTCTGTTGTCACTAGCAAGCGCTGGTGGAAGAAGTTTAAAAGCGGGGAGCGTAAAAGATCAACTCAAATCAGGGCAGCCCTCCTGCATCATCCGTCGCCAGTATCATGAAAAAAGCACCTGGAAAATCCGAGCAATCTGAGAAAAGGCTGGCTAGAGGCTAGCTCAAAAAGTCCTACGGTGTCTGGGAAATTCGTCCGTCGGTATTGCAGTGACATAACTTGGACTGAAGGACCGTAAGGCTCGTGAGTGGCTAAATATAAAATAAAATTGGCGAGTCCAGCGCCTTAAATTTTGTCAGAAACGCAAGAACCCAAGCTTAAAGGAAGTTTTGAACGTATGTAAAAAGAATACGGAAAGAGAAACGCAAGTTGTGGAGGAGTGAAAACGAAGTAAAAGCGGGCCCTGTTTAGCGACGAGTCTCCGTTTCACATACACAATAACTTTTGGTTTAGGTTTGGTTGTATTTTAACAACCAAACCACCAGAAAGAGCGAGTATGGGTTGAAAGCATGGCTTATCCCGCGCCGTGCTGGTGACCTGAGTTTTCCGTGTCGTGATGGGGGGGGGGGGGGCATTTTCACGCCCCCGTCTAACTCGGCTCCTGAGTCACGACGTAGCGACACGCAGTAGGCGGCATTCGAAAGAGCGTCAAAAATAATGACGGAAATACTTCATTCGTTTTTAGGTCACGTCAAAGGCCAGGTCACCCGAGGTCATCAAAGGTCAAATATTGTCAGTTCAATTATTTCCGAAACACCCGGCGCATAACTCGGGAACCAATAGAGTTACACCACCGCGGAAAAAGCATTCGATAGCTCTAATTTCACAGGCCTTTCTGATTGTTGCACCCAGATTTAGCCTCAGGTTAAAGGTTTAGCCTCCAGAGGGCAAAAATTGAAAAATAACTGTTTTTTTACGAGAAATGTTTTATTTTCGGTAATAGCTTTTGACTCAAGAGAGCCACGACATCACTTTTCCCAGCCATCACTTTTGCGTCTTTCTCTCGTCGAGACACGTCGAATGAACTATTAGTTCAGTTCAGTTCAGTTTATTTTATTCTCTCCAAAACATAAAAAGAAACAACAAAATAGTGGATAGGCGAGAACAAGAGTGGGTTAGCTGATTTTGAAAGGTCATTTTGAAAATTTGACCTCAGGTCAACGTCATGGCCTAACCAGAAAAGGTCATTATGCATATCAGTCGATCCGTATTGTCGAGTTGCACATCTGGCGTGTTTTCACCACTCTAGCACGTCTCTATCAAAAGTTATAGTAAAAACTGCTGGCGACTTTTCATAATCTGAGATGACCTCAGGGGCACACAGAGGGGTCACAGGTGCATTTTTTCCGATTCAGTGTGTCATGTTTACCGGTTAACTGATTTTTGAGTGTTTAGAACGACATTCGTTCAAAAGAGGCGAATTTAAATTTTCTCTCTTTGACTTAACCCGCGCCGTGCTGGGGGCGTTTTTAGCCCCCCCCCCCCCCTCAGGTTTTTCGCGAATATTTCAAAAACGACGGCGCTTTAAACATCGTTTCCAGACATTGATATGTCAATGGGAGAAAATTGAAAGGCACCTCTTTTGGACGAATGTCCTTCAAAACCCTTTCAAACATCGGCTCTTAGGTAAACATGACACACTGAATCGGAAAAATGCACATGTGACCCCTCTGTGTGTCCATGAGGTCATCTCAGGTCATGAACGGTCACCAGCATTTGTTTGAGCTGTAACTTTTCAAAGAGACGTGCTAGAGCGGTGAAAACACGTCAGATGTGTTCAGCTCGACGATACAGATCGACTGATATGCAACATGACCCTTTCCGGTCAGGCCATGACCTTGACCTGACGTCAAATTTTCAAAATGACCTTGTAAGGTCAACGTATAATTCATTCGACGCGTCTCGGCGAGAGAAACACGATGCTGGCCAAAAAATGTCACTATCTTGAATCAAAAGTTATTACAGAAAAGGCTTTTAATAAAAAAAAACTTCTATTTATTAGAGTTTTTGCTATCTGGAGACTATACCGTTGACCTGAGGTCGAATCTGAGAACAATACTCAGAAAGGTCTGTAAAAGGGCTATCGAATGCGCTTTCCCGCGGCATTGTAGCTCTACCGGTTCCCGAGTTAGCCGTTGGCAATTCCCAAAATTGTTGAAATGGACTAAAGGTGACCTTTGATAGCCTCTGGTGAACTGACGTTTGACCTGACCTAAAAAAATGACCGAAGTGTTTCCGTCATTATTTTTGACGCTCTTTCGATTGCCGCTTACTGCGTGTCGCTAAGTGGCCCAGGAGCCGAGGAGTGAAAACGCCCCCCCCCCCCCCCAGCACGACACGTAGAACACAGGCCGGGTCAGGCAGGCTGCGCTGCGCTCCGCGGCCGCCGCGCGCCTCACCTCGGCGAACACGGTGAACCAGCCGTCGTTGGCGTCCTGTCCGAGCACCACGCCGGCGCGCCGGTTCAGCTGGCCCAGCACGGCGCCCTGGAACTCGGCCGGCGCCGACACCTCGACCGACATGAGCGGCTCCAGCAGCTGCCACCGGCCGGCAGCAAACACTGTCCACAGGCCAGGTCAGATACTGCAGCAGCTGCAGCCGCCCCCTCCCCCCCGAACACTGTCCACAGGCCAGGTCAGATACTGCAGCAGCTGCAACCAGCCCTCCCCCCGCGAACACTGTCCACAGGCCAGGTCAGATACTGCAGCAGCTGCAACCGCCCCTCCCCCCGCGAACACTGTCCACAGGCCAGGCCAGGTCAGATACTGCAGCAGCTGCCACCGGCCGGCAGCAAACACTGTCCACAGGCCAGGTCAGATACTGCAGCAGCTGCAACCACCCCTCCCCCGCGAACACTGTCCACAGGCCAGGCCAGGTCAGATACTGCAGCAGCTGCAACCGCCCCTCCCCCGCCAACACTATCCAGTATCCGGTGTCCACAGGCCAGGCCAGGTCAGATACAACGGCAGCTGCCACCGGCCGGCAGCAAACACTATCTACAGGCAAGACTCAGAATCAGGTCAAATACTAACTACATACGTACTACTTTGCTTAACCCGCGCCCCGTAGGGCTATCGGCGGACCCTACCACCCGTAGGGGGGGGGGGGGGTGTTTCGGTCCCCCCCCCCCCAAGATCTCGGAAAGTTACCGGCCGATTTCCAAAATTCAAACGGCGTTGGATAGCACTACCACGGAACTACCTTGTGACCCAATGTCATTGACCTCGGTCCAACCGATGACGTACAGGTCAGGTCAAAGGTCGAATTTTCACCGTTTACAAGCATTTCAAGAGATGTGTTGTAAAATCGAGCAAAAGGAATGTTATTGAAAATCATCGATGGGGGCACTGTCCATAAAACACATCCAACTGTTTATTGGTAATACAAATTAAACGCATAATATATAGTAACATATTTTGCTATTTGAGGTCATTGATACCAGGGCAGGTCACAGAGGTCAGGTCACTGATAATTGCCAAAAAAATGAGTTTGAAAATTTGACGTCATAAATTTTGAACAGTGTTTTAGCTATAACTTGGCCAAAAAAAGGTATCAATCTCAAATTTGGTATGTGGATAGAATGTGGGAGGGGCTATCGTGCGGCTTTTTTCGAAATTCGAAAAACTTTTGAGATTTTTGGCTATTATATCCAAAAAATAACTTTTTTGATTTTTGTGGGTCAAAATCCAACAATTTTGATAATCTGAGATTGTAGTTTTATAGCCCTGTTAATTATACACCATTTGTGCCTTTAACATTTTTCTGTATCTTCAAAGCTGTAGGCCTGACAGCTCTTCCTGTGAAACCTTTTTTGTCAAGAATGGCAGAACATGACGTCATTCTGACGTCATTTGCGGCCAACCTATCATAGCCTCCGGATTTTTTTATCACAATGTGTAAAATTGATGCCCAGAAGGGTCCTGAAAATTTGGTGACGATATTTGCAGTCGTTTAGAAGAAATCGACGGAAAAGATCAGGGGGGGGGGCGTTTCGCCCCCCCCCCCTACCGGGCGCGGGTTAAAGTTAGAAGAAAAATTACTTCGTTCAGCGACCCCTACAAATTAAAATTTTCAAAAATATTCCACGCACATTGTTTTAATGCCTATTGGAATAGCATGAGAGGGTGTCCGATAACAAGAAACATTTGTGAAAATACGTGCCACCCTAGCGGACACCCCGATACCGTCCCAGTGGTGGAGGGACTCCGGTACCGGTCCACGGACACCCCGGTACTGGTCCACAGACACCCCGATACCGGTCCACAGACACCCCGATACCGGTCCACAGACACCCCGGTACCGGTCCACAGACACCCCGGTACCGGTCCACAGACACCCCGATACCGGTCCACAGACACCCCGGTACCGGTCCACAGACACCCCGGTACCGGTCCACAGACACCCCGGTACCGGTCCACAGACACCCCGATACCGGTCCACAGACACCCCGGTACCGGTCCACAGACCCCCCGGTACCGGTCCCAGGGACACGCCGACACCGGTCCGACACCCATGGGGGCACCCACCCCGAGCAGAATGGGGAGCACATGCAGATCGTCGGGCCGCCATGAGCACACATGGCGGTAATTTCCCAGATTTATTGGCTATAAATCGGCAGACCTGCGGGCGAGCGGAGCGGAGCGGAGGGCCTGACATCTGCGTAGGACTGGGGGCGGTGACCGGTCAGAGCTAAAGTGACAGTGACCGGTCTGCAGGGTCAGTGACCGGTCAGGTCTGTAGGGGGCCAGGGAGAGTAACCGGTCAGAGCTAAAGTGACAGTGACCGGTCTGCAGGGTCAGTGACCGGTCAGGTCTGTAGGGGGCCAGGGAGAGTAACCGGTCAGAGCTAAAGTGACAGTGACCGGTCAGGTCTGTAGGGACAGTGACCGGTCAGGTCTGTAGGGACAGTGACTGGTCAGGTCTGAAGGGACGGTGGCTGGTCAGGTCTGTAGGGACAGTGACCGGTCAGGTCTGTAGGGACAGTGACTGGTCAGGTCTGTAGGGACAGTGACCGGTCAGGTCTGTAGGGACAGTGACTGGTCAGGTCTGAAGGGACGGTGGCTGGTCAGGTCTGTAGGGACAGTGACCGGTCAGCTCTGTACGGACAGTGACTGGTCTGTAGGGACAGTGACCGGTCAGGTCACTGACGCTGCACCGTTTGTACCTAAACAATAGCATCCAGCGGCGGACGGCGGGCCGGACGGTTCGTCGTGTCGCCTGTGGGGTAGCAACTTTAATTTCAACCAGCGAGCGGAGGGTGTGGCGCGGCTTGGCGGTGGTCAAACAGACTTGTTTTCATATTATGTTGTGTTTTTTATGTAATACTCATGCTTATTTTATACTGATTGATTAAGAGAGGTGCTTTAATTTAAGAATCTTTATTCTTTTGCACTAATCTTATAATATTTTTGTGTATGTTTTGCTCATTTGTAATGTCGAAAATAAATGTGTATGTGTATGTGTAATTGTATGTATGTAGGTCTGTAGGGAGTCAGGGACCGTGGCTGGTCAGCTCTGTAGGGACAGTGACTGATCTGTAGGGACAGTGACCGGTCAGCTCTGTAGGGACAGTGATAGGTCTGTAGGGACAGTGACCGGTCAGCTCTGTAGGGACAGTGACTGGTCTGTAGGGACAGTGGCCGGTCAGGTGTGTAGGGACAGTGACTGGTCAGCACCTACCGTCCTTCACAGCTCCCTGTCCGGCCAGGATGAAGCTGATCTCGTTGGAGTCGACCACGTGGCTGGCTCCGTCCAGCAGTCGGAACCGCACCCCGGACACCCTGTGACCTGCCGCCAAGCACCGGTCAGCCCTCTGACCTGCACCGCTAGCCGTCCTAGTCAATCACTCCGTTTACAGGCGACCTCTAGAATAACGGATCACGATGTCTCTTCTCTCTGCCTCCCGGTTTAGCAGATACAAGCACAGACACCATAGTTACATGTATCTTTCAGAGGATGTGGAATTAGCACCCCTTCGAAATAATGAGCGCAAGGCTCTGAATGTGCGGAGCCTATGTTGCTTAAGCCGCCCGGTGGTGCGCTCAGCTAGTTATCCAATGGAGCGACAGGCCGCACGCCTCACCTGTGAGGGCGCCCTTTTCACACATGTTCAGGAAGCCCTTCTTGATGGCCGGAACAAACTGTTTGGGGATGTTGGTGCCCATGGTCTGGTCGACAAACTCCAGTTTGGTGTTCTCCGTGGCTGGAAGCGGCTGAAATCCGGCACAGTTCCGTCAGCCGCCACCGCTCACCGGCCGACGGGCGACCGGCAAAGGGACCAGAGCACGACTGCCCAGCACAGGAACCGGCCAATATCAAACGCCACTGGTTGTACCTAAACATTATCATCAAGTATCATTGACGCAACAGAAAATATTGATCGAACGAGACGCAAAGCACGTAAAAGCAGCAATGCACCCAAAACGGTGCAACAATGACAGAAAGCGGAGCAGAGGGGAAGCGCACAAGGTGCTGTTGGCGCCGTGTTCGCTGTCTCAGCGCCACCTACCGAGGGCCGGGGTAGGTTCTAGATGCCCGGTTGTCCGCGGGACGACCCAGTGTCGGTCCGAGGGGTTTGCCGGACGTATGCTTATTGCTTATTCCTGTTTTCTGCTATTTTGTTATATAATGTGCTTTTGTCATCGGTTCTTGAACAAATTTTGTACTGCGTTCAGCGTTAATTTGTCCTAGCCCGCGCATGACTCGGGCATATTCTAGTTATAATGCTAGTGGCGAGGACAATCTCCCACACCACTGTTCGGTTTTCAAAAATCAAACGGCATTTGATGGCCCTGACAAACTGTCCAGTAGGGCGGGTCAATGCTAGAAGTTTTCAAGAAAAGGGTGATCTTCTAACTGGTTAATTCATGAATCGATTATTTTTTGCGAATTCTTGAAGAGGAATTCGGCGCGCCGTCAGTTTTTTAGACCACTTTTGCAAAATTGTATCGTTTTTTTTTTTGCAAAACTTCGTGGAAGACACTTGAGAATGGTGCTAACTATTTCACCGTGTTTTTTAATTCTCCATGCTTTTCTCTATCTGTACAAACAAAAAATGGAAACCGCACTGGCAAAATCACGTTTAGAATAGCGATTTGCATTGGCGATCTGAGCGCATCATAAGCAGCGCCATCTATTGAGCGAGCTTGGCGTGACATTTACACGTATATTTACGGCCTTCCTCCCCCTGAAAACTGACGCAGCCACGACGACGTAGGTACTGTTAGGTACTGTTGTTCCTTATTTGACACTAGGTGCATCTGTCCGACCCGGAATACTTCAGGGGAGGGGTCACACCAGGGGAGGCAGTCAGTCCCCGGGTCCCAGCACATGGTGGTGGGCCGTGCCGGCGGGGAGCGGTGGGCTCTGACCTCCATCAGTCCGACGACCCGGCCGTACTGGCCGGCGCCGCCCGACTGCTTCTTGTGCTGGTAGTCGAACTGGCACGGCTCCAGCAGTGTCTCGCGGAACGCCACCTTGGGCTGTCCCATCACCACCGGACACTTGTACTCGCGCTCCATCCTCTGCGGCGCAGAGACGGGCTGTCAGAGGGGCCCACACCGTCCAACACCGAGCCGGCACCTCGCGCTCCACATTGCTGGAAGCGGACAAATACAAAACCAAAAGAGCTCGGCACCAATTGAGAGAAGGTAGGCCAAGGAGCATGTGGACGGTCTTGCCTGGGGAGGAGGGGGGGGGGAGGGGGCGGTCTCACCTGGGCGTAGATGTCCAGATGCAGTTCGCCCATGCCGGCAGCGATCGTCTCCTTGGACTCCTCGTCGTACATTATTTTGTAGGTGGGGTCCTCGCGGGTGAACCTGACGGCGCGCGCACGCCGGGGATGGTAACGATACTCAGAGGGGGTGCCGGTAAACACATCGGGCCAACAGACGTCTCCGTAACACACCGGACCAATAGACACGTCTGTATAGTATCCAACCAAGACGCGTCAATACCGGACCAGTACAAACCTACCTCCGTATGTATTGTACAACAACGAATCAAGACAGAAACGTTATTACGAGCGAGTGCGCAACGAGTCTTTTCAATACAGAGGAAAATCTCATTATGAGCAGCCCAGTCCGGCCTGTAACGTTTTGAGAGGCTGATGTCTCAGCAACCACTGGGCCGATTGGCCTGCGGTCTTTTTTGTTCGGTTGCCCCATCCCTTCTATCCCATAAATGACTACTCTTGATGCATCTACCATGCCGCGTGAAATGTCAAGGGAGACCGTCCATTGTCCAAGTTGTTCTGCTGACGCAGCGCTTTTGAGAGGCTTATTTCTCAGCAGCCGCGAGTCGAATTACTTGCGGCTTTGTAGGGTAGTTGTTACATCCCTCTCAACAAGCACCGGATTGCTCGCATTGCACGTGAGTCACCCCCACTGCAAGTACCACGTGAAAAATGAAGCGGTGCCAAGTTTGTTTCCAATCCAATAACTCGGCAATTACTGGGGCGATTGCGCTGAAACTTGGCATGCACGTGGGCACACACCATGCCTTTAACATCCACCACGGTTGGGGTGCTGCTGCACGTATGTACGCACGTGCAGGGGTCGCTTCCAGATCTCGAGAGCGGTTGAATCGATTGCGCTCAGACACCGCTATGGACAGGTGAGTAGGGTGCTAGGCGAAAGTCAGTTGGAACCCGGCTTGCACGTGCGCACGAGCACGGTACCGCTTCTGCATATCAAAAACGGCTGATCTGATTCAGCTCAAATTCGGTACACGTTTAGCGACCGGTGAGAAAGATTTCGGGAAAGTCAGTTTGGACCCAGTTTGTTCGTTTGCAAGAGCAAGATGCCGCTTCTGCATCTCGAGAAAGACTGGGCCAATTGCGCTAAAATTTGGTACATCGTTAGGGACCGGCTAGTAGGGTGGCCCGCACCATTCAGCTGGGGTACAACTTTACACTTGCGCCGGTGCAGGACTCACACTCAAGCTCGCTCGTTTCAGTCGTTTGTCGTCCCAAAAGGCAGAAGTCTTTTATCTGGTACAGTATCAGACCAATAGACACATCATGATAGTGCTGTATCAGTACAGACCCTGACAGCACCGGGGTAGGTACTACACAGACCGTACAGTTATACAGGATCAGTACACAGACCCTGCTACACAGACCGTACAGTTATACAGGATCAGTACACAGACCCTGACAGCACCGGGGTACTCCACAGACCGTACAGTAACACCCGACAGTACACAGACCCTGACAGCACCGGGGTGCTCCACAGACCGTACAGTAACACCCGACAGTACACAGACCCTGACAGCACCGGGGTACTACACAGACCGTACAGTAACACCCGACAGTACACAGACCCTGACAGCACCGGGGTACTACACAGACCGTACAGTAACACCCGACAGTACACAGACCCTGACAGCACCGGGGTACTACACAGACCGTACAGTAACACCCGACAGTACACAGACCCTGACAGCACCGGGGTACTACACAGACCGTACAGTTATACAGGATCAGTACACAGACCCTGACAGCACCGGGGTACTCCACAGACCGTACAGTTACACCCGACAGTACACAGACCCTGACAGCACCGGGGTACTACACAGACCGTACAGTTACACCCGACAGTACACAGACCCTTACAGCACCGGGGTACTCCACAGACCGTACAGTTACACCCGACAGTACACAGACCCTGACAGCACCGGGGTACTACACAGACCGTACAGTTACACCCGACAGTACACAGACCCTGACAGCACCGGGGTACTACACAGACCGTACAGTTACACCCGACAGTACACAGACCCTGACAGCACCGGGGTACTCCACAGACCGTACAGTTACACCCGACAGTACACAGACCCTGACAGCACCGGGGTACTCCACAGACCGTACAGTTACACCCGACAGTACACAGACCCTGACAGCACCGGGGTACTACACAGACCGTACAGTTACACTCGACAGTACACAGACCCTGACAGCACCGGGGTACTCCACAGACCGTACAGTTACACCCGACAGTACACAGACCCTGACAGCACCGGGGTACTCCACGGACCGTACAGTTACACCCGACAGTACACAGACCCTGACAGCACCGGTGTACTCCACGGACCGTACAGTTACACCCGACAGTACACAGACCCTGACAGCACCGGGGTACTCCACGGACCGTACAGTTACACCCGACAGTACACAGACCCTGACAGCACCGGGGTACTCCACGGACCGTACAGTTACACCCGACAGTACACAGACCCTGACAGCACCGGGGTAGGTACTCCACAGACCGTACAGTTACACCCGACAGTACACAGACCCTGACAGCACCAGGGTCCTCCACGGACCGTACAGTTACACCCGACAGTACACAGACCCTGACAGCACCGGGGTACTCCACAGACCGTACAGTTACACCCGACAGTACACAGACCCTGACAGCACCGGGTACTACACAGACCGTACAGTTACACCCGACAGTACACAGACCCTGACAGCACCGGGGTACTCCACAGACCGTACAGTTACACCCGACAGTACACAGACCCTGACAGCACCGGGGTACTCCACAGACCGTAGTTACACCCGACAGTACACAGACCCTGACAGCACCAGGGTACTCCACGGACCGTACAGTTACACCCGGCAGTACACAGACCCTGACAGCACCGGGGTACTCCACAGACCGTACAGTTACACCAGACAGTACACAGACCCTGACAGCACCGGGGTACTCCACAGACCGTACAGTTACACCCGACAGTACACAGACCATGACAGCACCGGGGTAGGTACTACACAGACCGTACAGTTACACCCGACAGTACACAGACCCTGACAGCACCGGGGTAGGTACTACACAGACCGTACAGTTATACAGGATCAGTACACAGACCCTGACAGTACCGGGGTAAGACCGTGCAGTTATACAGGATCAGTACACAGACCCTGACAGCACCGGGGTACTACACAGACCGTACAGTTACACCCGACAGTACACAGACCCTGACAGCACCGGGGTACTACACAGACCGTACAGTTATACAGGGTCAGTACACAGACCCTGACAGTACCGGGGTACTACACAGACCGTACAGTTACACCCGACAGTACACAGACCCTGACAGCACCGGGGTACTACACAGACCGTACAGTTATACAGGATCAGTACACAGACCCTGACGGCACCGGGGTACTACACAGACCGTACAGTTACACCCGACAGTACACAGGCCCTGACAGCACCGGGGTCCTACACAGACCGTACAGTTATACAGGATCAGTACACAGGCCCTGACAGTACCGGGGTACTACACAGACCGTACAGTTATACAGGATCAGTACACAGACCCTGACAGCACCGGGGTACTACACAGACCGTACAGTTATACAGGATCAGTACACAGACCCTGACAGCACCGGGGTACTACACAGACCGTACAGTTATACAGGGTCAGCACACAGACCCTGACAGCACCGAGGTACTACACAGACCGTACAGTTACACCCGACAGTACACAGACCCTGACAGTACCGGGGTACTACACAGACCGTACAGTTATACAGGATCAGTACACAGACCCTGCTACACAGACCGCACAGTTATACAGGATCAGTACACAGACCCTGACAGCACCGGGGTACTCCACAGACCGTACAGTTACACCCGACAGTACACAGACCCTGACAGTACCGGGGTACTACACAGACCGTACAGTTATACAGGATCAGTACAGAGACCCTGACAGTACCGGGGTACTACACAGACCGTGCAGTTATACAGGATCAGTTCACAGACCCTGACAGCACCGGGGTACTACACAGACCGTACAGTTACACCCGACAGTACACAGACCCTGACAGCACCGGGGTACTCCACAGACCGTACAATTACACCCGACAGTACACAGACCCTGACAGCACCGGGGTACTACACAGACCGTGCAGTTATACAGGATCAGTTCACAGACCCTGCTACACAGACCGCACAGTTATACAGGATCAGTTCACAGACCCTGACAGCACCGGGGTACTACACAGACCGCACAGTTATACAGGGTCAGTACACAGACCCTGCTACACAGACCCGCACAGTAATACCGGACATTAACCCGCGCCCCACTGGGGTCTGCGTATAACACGCCCTACTGGGGGGGCTATTCATAGCCCCCCCCCTCCTAACTCCGAAACTACTGGGCCGATCGTCAAAATTCAAACGGCGTCTGATAGCCCCGGAAAATCTGTCGAGCGAAACCTAATTTCATTGACCTCGAGGTCACCGATGACGTCACAGGTCAGGTCAAAGTAAAAATTATTAGCATTTTGGCTTCTTCACGTTTTGGGCTCTGGCCGCCGTCTTACAAGTCAGATCAGGCTCATTTTTGGTTCACACACTCGTGAACAGATGCTCTAGATACTCTGAGGGTACCAAACTTGTACTTTGATTTTCAGGTCAAGGTCAGGTCATCACAGATCACGAAAATATTATATCATCCGTCGGTCACGTGACGCATGTTTTATGGTCCATTTAGGCCAACAATTTCGAATTTAATGTCGTCTGTGTCATTCGAGGTCATTTTGAGTCAAATTTAGCTTAGGTCAGGTCACTTTCAGGTCAAAAAAGGTCAAATTTTGAAGTTAAAATTTTTCAACAAAAAAGGTGTCTATTGGATGCAGTTTGAGCTCAGGAACACGATGGTGCTATTTATATTGGCGTGCGATGTCAAATTCGTGCTGAAAAATTGATTTCAAAAATTAATAATTGTTAATTTTTTGCAATAATGCGTATAACTTGGTCATTTTTGAAGATATTTAGCTAAAACTTGCTAGAGTTAGTCATAATAATGCGTTCTATCACATATATTCCGTTTTTTTTTCGAAAAGTCAAAAAAAAAAACATGTAAAAATATAAATTTTGAATTTTATTATATTAAATTTTCAAAATTTTCAAAATTTCGAAAATCCGAGATAGCAGATTGATAGCGCAGTCTATTCTGAGTCCTCTCATGCAAAGAAATTGGATCTAGCTTAAAAACTGAGCTCTTGGGAGCGATTGCCGTGGTTCAATGTTTTGCGTCGAAATCGGCCGAACATGACGTCACTCTGACGTCATTTCCGGCCGACCTATGGTAGGTACAAAGTTCAAATTTTGACACAAGGTGTCAAATTGATGCAGCCGAAGGTACTGAAAGTTTGGCGTCGATACGTCAAGCGGTTTGGAAGTTATTGCAGAAAAACGGGAGGGGGGCTATAAATAGCCCCCCCCCCCGTGGGGCGCGGGTTAATACAGAACCGCATATCCATGCCTTACTTCACCCTGCACAACGTTTACCCTTTTTTCATTCCTACCTGCAATCAACGTGATAAAGGATTTAATATGGATTCGTCACAAAGGATTCGTGATAAAGGTACCGTGCGCAACAAATGCTCACATTACGTTAAAACCTACCTGTTGACGGCCTTTCCGAAGTTTTCCACGTCCTTTGAGTGTTTCGGTTTGATAGACATCGAAATGACCGGATCCGGGACGAAGATGGACTCCTGGGAACAGCAGAGACGCCTGGTGAGCGGCTGCCGAACTAGTGAGCAGTCGACACCCGTTAGTAAGTACAGCCCTCTGCAAACTGCGTGCTAGGTGTTCTTTTTTCCACAAAACCGATAATAACGCGAATACTATGCTGTCGGTCACTCGGAAATCGTGACAGCAAGACGCGCGAGACTCCGCACCTTAGATTGGCATCATCATCGCATTCATTTTCCATCCAGTTCGGCAACAAACCCAAAAGTTTATATTTGCCCCCAAAACAAACTTTTGCATTTTGTTGTCACAATAGGCGTATACTTTGTTTAGTGATAGACCCAATCGAAGGAGTGGAGCATGGCGCATATATTTGCAGTGAGTTCCGGCAGCCAGTGATAACAGACTTCGAGTTATTATCGGCTTTGTCAACAAAAACAAAACAAAAACTACCACGCAGTCTGCTGAGGGCTGTACATACAAACGTACATGGCGAGTTGATGTGCGGCATAAATAATAGAAAACAAAGTCCGCCATTCGCTCTGATATGTACATTTATCCATGAAAGACAAGCCTAGCGGACAAGCACGACACTTTTATGCTATCAAGTGGCGCAGAATAACAGTCTAAAAGCCCACCATGGACGCCGAGCCTACCATGGACAGCTGGGGCCGCTGCTGCCAGCGCCGAGCCTACCATGGACAGCTGGGGCCGCTGCTGCCAGCGCCGAGCCTACCATGGACAGCTGGGGCCGCTGCTGCCAGCGCCGAGCCTACCATGGACAGCTGGGGCCACTGCTGCCGGCGCCGAGCCTACCATGGACAGCTGGGGCCGCTGCTGCCAGCGCCGAGCCTACCATGGACAGCTGGAGCCGGTTGTCGGACACGAACGAGTCGCCGGAGGCGCAGTCCACGCCGAACAGGGCGAAAATGTCGCCGGCCAGGACCTCGCCGACCTCCTCCAGCTGGTCAGAGTGGAGCCGCACCAGGCGCGACACGCGCACCTGCCCGGACGGACACGGACGGGGGGGGGGGGCGTCAGCCGCCACACGGCACCTAGTCGGACAGACGGGGGGGGGGGGGGGCGTCAGCCGCCACACGGCACCTAGTCGGACAGACGGGGGCGTCAGGCGCCACACGGCACCTAGTCGGACACAAACGGACGGGACCGGACGGCAGCGGGCAGTTCGTCCCACCTGCGCCTTAAGCCGGGTTCACACCGGTTTTCCGGTCCGGAAAAATTCCGTCTGCCGGGCCGGCACCAAAATGTTGAAATTGTCGCTAGATGTCAAAAAAGTCGCTAGAACCGGAAAACCGGAAAGTCGAGCCGGAAATGTCATAATCATCAACCATCAAGTACGATAAGTAGGTACCACGCAATCTCGCGAATTATTTTGAAATCGAACATACTTGTGTGACGGCTTTACAAGTCCCTGATGCAGTTCCACCCAACCGAAAATCATCCATACTTCACTGGTAGGTATATTAGCAAGATTAATACAATTTAACATTTACAGCATGCGGGCTTGGTATCGACAAAAAGACACTAATAAATTTCAATCGCGCTGGCTGTTGTTGGTTTAAAAACACTTGCGAACAAAGAGGAATTGAGGGCTGGGCAGGGCGCATTAGAGACGGCGAGCTTGATATTACGCTTGCTGATGTAGATGGCTGGGTCTCAAAATCGGTCATCTGACTGTCACTGAACTCTACTGCCATAACCCGCGCCCCGCTGGGGATCCTAAATTTCCACGCCTTGCTGGTGGGGGTGTTTAACACCCCCCCCCCCCCTTTTAACTCGGCTCCTGGGCCACGTAGCGATACGGGGAAGGCGGCGTTCGAAAGAGTGTCAAAATTAATGACGAAATTAATTCGGTCACTTTTTTTGGGTCAAATCAAAGGTCAGGTCACCAGAGGTCATGGAAAGCCGAATTTCACCGATTTTCAGGTCGAATGTCGACGATTTACAACAAGCCAACGCATAACTTGGCATCAATTTTCTCCCATTGACATATAATGGGGGGGGGGGGGGGGTCACAAAATTGACCTGACCTTAGGTCACCGATATCAAAATTCCGAGATAGTTATTTATTTAAATTGTGTACATATTGTTGCCCTTATCAATCGCTGAGAGTTTCAAAGAGGTCGGTCGCTCGATGTAGCATATGGAAGACGTTGAAACTTTGTATGAGGTGAGGTCACTTGAAGTGACCTGGTGACCTGACCTTAAGTGACCTTGCTCTACAATTTTTACATGTGCAGAAAAGATGCATGATAAGGTGTGCCAAAAACAGCCGCCGTTTTTTAGATGATCGCGAAAAACCACAGGGAGGGTTCAAATATCCCCCCCCCCACCCCCACCCCCAGCAGGGCGCGGGATAATATCCTTGGCATTCAGTACCATCGTATTTCCTGAATCTTCTACTTGCGATTGAATGGCAAAACTGCCTCCACCCTCCCGAGCTGCTATGTGCTTGTGTAGGAGGGCATCGAGGGCAGAGAAGTGTTGTCAGCGCGTCTTGTAGAATGTAGATTTCAGAATCTGCTCGGCTGGCTCCACTTCGTAGACGACGGAAGTTAGCAATACGTACATTGTGCTACCTGTCCTGCGGCCGGCTCCAGCGCTTGATAATCTCTTCTGCAGATACTGGCTCCGCTCCTTCTACAACCAGCGCGTCCGCAATGTTGTTCCACAAATTCGCCCTTTTCACCGCTTCCTTATAATATTTATCTTTTTACTATAAAGTCATGGATATTTTCCAACCAATGAAATTAATTTATAATTTGAAAAGGCCATGAGTCATGTGAAATACAAAAACAGAAATGTAGCTATCACTCCGTTTGAGATGCAAATGTTTTGAAATAAAAATGAAACGCCGTCAAATTTACGCTTGAATTTTATATTCTTGTGAAAAATCGCGAGACTATTAGGGCACCGTTGGTTAAATTGGTCCTGTAGCGCTGAAACATAACATTATTTCCCTCGTGCCTTAAAGGAAATAGTTCACTTTTAACATGGGGTTTTGAACTGAAATAGCAGTCTTGTAGCTTGCGCTGAGACTAGCACAAATCATAAGCTTTTACGGCCCAACGATCACCCTAAGCAAAAATATCCAATTTCCCGTTCCAAAAAGAGTGTCTTAGGCAGGAATGTGGTGTCTTAGAAAGGAATGCAGTCACGTCATCGTCAGCCAATCAGCATGCTGCTTACAGCCAATGCAGCATGCGTAGGTTTGAACTACGCAATGTGATTGGTCAACGCGTAATAAACTTCCGCGACAAAACATCATTCTACATTGAATATAGTTCTTCCTATAATAAAATATAGAAAATAATTGTTTTTACAGAAAGGTTTTATTTTATTTTCTGATCATTTTGAGGATACGAAATCATAAATCCATAGCAAAATACTAATTTTAGGAAAGTGAACTATTTCCTTTAATTTCATATCACAAACGGTGGCTATCCGGCAAGGCAAAAGTTGAGATGATTTCAACTTTTTGCCGGACCGGAAAATCTGGCTCTCCGGCCTGCCGGACCGGTCAAAAGAAGTTGCCAGATTTGCCGGTTCACACCAGTTTTCAATTTTCCGGCACGGAATTGGCCATTTTTCCGGCCCGGCAGACGGAATTTTGCCGGTCCGGAATCCGGTGTGAACCCGGCATTACACTGCTAAAACTGACTCTTTCCGCAGTCAGGAAATCGCATGCGAGAGCCTACATATTCAATTGCATTAAATCACGCTCGCATCAATCGTAGGCACTGAGTACAATTGATTTGAGCGCAATTTAATGCATACGAAAAGGCTCTCACAGGTGATTTCCTGCCTGCGGAAATATTCTGATTCAGCCATTGCCCTGCTGAAGCTCGCGACGTCATTTTGTATTATCAGTATCGCTCCGCCCTTCCTTTCTGTGCCCCCTCCGCACCCGTGCCATCCTTCCTGACGGCGCTCCCGCTCGGTGAGCAGCCACCTCAGCGGCCCACCTGCCCCTGACCTCAGCGTCCCACCTCCCCCTGAACTGACACCTCCCCCTGACCTCAGCGTCCCAATCCCTGACCTCAGCGTCCCAATCCCTGACCTAGTCAGCGGCCCACTCCCTGACCTCACACCTCCCCTGACCTCAGCGGCCCACCTCCCCCTGACCTCAGGGGCCCACCTCCTCCCCCTAACCTCAGCGGCCCAGCTCCCCCGACCTCACACCTCCCCCTGACCTCACACCTCCCCCTGACCTCACACCTCCCCCCGACCTCACACCTGCCCCTGACCTCAGCGGCCCACCTGCCCCTGACCTCACCCCTCCCCCCGACCTCACACCTCCCCCGACCTCACACCTCCCCCTGAACTGACACCTCCCCCTGAACTGACACCTCCCCCTGACCTCAGCGGCCCACTCCCTGACGGCGGACGTGTGGCCCGGTGAGGAGGCAGCCCACCTTTTTTCCGTTGCGCGTGTTGTAGATGGTCTGGCCCCTGGCCAGCCGGCCCTGGTAGCAGCGCAGGTACGTCAGCTGGCCAAACTTGCCCGCCTCCAGTTTGAACGCCAGCGACACGAACGGACTGCAGCCGTCGCGCGCCGGACTCATCTTCACCTTCAACGGCTCGCCCTCCTCACTGGTGCAGGGGGGGGGGGCTGTCGGTAACGGCCGGGCGAGGTACACTGGGGGGGGGGGGGTAACGGCCGGGCGGGGCACACTGGCGACCACCAGCGGTACACTGGGGACCACCAGCTGTACACCGGGGACCACAGCGGTACACTGGGGACCACGGCGGTACACTGGGAACCACGGCGGTACACTGGGGACCACCAGCGGTACACTGGGGACCACCAGCGGTACACTGGGGACCACCAGCGGTACAGCCCACCGCTAAAGTAATGTAGGGTTTACCAATCTCAACGGTTGGCTTTGACTGGCGATTGTTTAATGCGGAGTGATCGAAAAGAAGATGTCAATAGCTAAAGTTGCAGCTGCAAGGGTGACGATACAAATTAAAGCTACATTCAAAGTTTCAGTGTAGTCTGGTTAATCGTTCCTAAGCTTCAGAAGCAGAACATACCCATGACTGAAACCGCACATTACTTCTGCTGTGGACTGTACATACACTGGGGACCACCAGCGGTACACTGGGGACCACCAGCGGTACATACACTGGGGACCACCAGCGGTACATACACTGGGGACCACCAGCGGTACACTGGGGACCACAGCGATACATACACTGGGGACCACAGCGGTACACTGGGGACCACAGCGGTACACTGGGGACCACCAGGGGTACATACACTGGGGACCACCACAAATTTTGTAAACTGGCATCACTTATCTGCTACTGCGTTGGTTCTAAAATTTTTGGCAAAACACACGCACACGCGCACACACCCCCACACACAAGGAGCGTTGCTTTTTCGGGGCTATCTTTGTCTTCATTGAAATTCTCACACTATGCGCAAATTTCCCCACGCTAAGAGTTACTTTCCCATATTTAAAAAGAGGCTTCAAAAGCAAATTTCTTGGATTGAATGCACTTACTAGTTCATTGTATAACAAAAGTCGTTGCGTATTAAGCGCTAGCAATGTAAGATTTTGCGCTGCAATGAAGTTGCAATGACGTGTTGGGCGTTTTTACTTGCGAAATTGATTGTTTTACAGTGTGCTGCAGCATCTTCATTCCCTGAAACTTCAAACCCCGTTGATATGATAGCCCTTTTAGCTACGATAATTTTCCTCATTGGTCTTAAATTGTCGTGTCACTTATGGATTTTCGGTAATTTTGTGTTACTCATACTATGTTCAAATTACCCAACCCGTTCAAATTACTCCACCCGTTCAAATTACCCCACCCTACCCTATGTACGGCCGGGGCCTAAGGAGATCGGTGGAATGCAACACTAAATCATCGTAAATTACACAAGGAGGGTACTATTCTTTGAACATGGACTGAGTGATCAGCTTAGCAAATGAACTTGACAAATATATATTTTTGCGAGGACATCCCGCTGCGATACTTGGCGCCGGCGGGTCGACGTCTGGCACGCGCGCTGTCAGCCTCCGCACCCAACGGCCGACTGTGCCGACTGGCTACACCCTCGAGGAAGGAGGTTGTGGAAGGAGGCAGGAGCCGCCTTCGGTCGCGGCCCCCATCTGCCGGGCTGGGAGCCGCCTTCGGCCGCGGCCCCCATCTGCCGGGCTGGGAGCCGCCTTGGGCCGCGGCCCCCATCTGCCGGGCTGGGAGCCGCCCCTGTCGAGAGGGGCGGGAGTCTGGGACGGACGCCGGAGCGGCTCTCACCTGGTGCGCGTCTGGTCCAGGGCGAAGTTGTCCACCTCGGCCGGGCTGGGCAGGAAGTCGAGGACGCCGTCGAGCAGCGGCTGCACGCCGCGGTTCCGCAGCGCCGAGCCCATCATCACGGGCGTGAAGGTGCGCGACAGTGTGGCGCGCCGGACGGCGGCCAGCAGCTGCTGCTCGGTGGGCTGCCGCTCCTCTGCCGGACAGCGCCGGCACCGGTCACCACAGCGGCCAACAGTCACCACAGCGGCCAGCAGCCGCCACAGCGGGGGCACAGCGGCCAACAGTCACCACAGCGGCCAACAGCCGCCACAGCGGCCCACAGCCACCACAGCGGGAGCACAGCGGCCAACAGCCACCACAGCGGGAGCACAGCGGGTGACGACAACCACCACAGCGGGAACACAGCGGGTGACGACAACCACAGCGGGAACACAGCGGGCAACGAGCACTGCAGCAGAAGAGAGTATCAGACATCAGAGTCCTGTGACAAGGGTGTATGTGTACAGGGTAAGGGTGTAAGGGTGACAAAGGTGTGACAAGGGTGGATTAAAGTCGTGTGACAGAATATATTTAACCCTCACCAGCCGCGGGGGGGGGGGGGGCGCCCCCAACCACTCACCCCGAAACGTTTTTTTTTTTTCGCGATAGCTCGAAACACTCTGGCGATAGGGAGACGAAATTTAGCACACCTGACCGTTGAGTGAAGCCAGATCCAAAGACACCAACCACGTTTACAGGTAAAATCAGATCACTGATCCATGACATCATTAGTGAACCTCTGCACGGTCCTTAAATGTCGCAACTTCGTTACGCCCTCAGTGCCAGAGAAACTTTCACCGGAAGATCAAACTTACAGCACCTAGTATCCTCCAGAGGTCTCATAATTTGTATCTCGGCTTTGTATATCTCGGAAGTCACCTGAGTTCAGGACGGTCACGTGAACTCACCATTAAAAGTCCAATGGGAAATAGGGAAACTGTTGTTTAAGAGGCAGGAAATTATTCAAAATTGTCCCAAGCGCATGGAAGCGTGCTTTCATTCACTACTTGCAAGGTCAGATGTGTCACTTTCGCATCGTTGAGCCTGCGTGACGTCACTCATAAGGAAACTAGGGTCATAGTAGTTTTTCGACAATAACTCCCCATCAAATTGAGCTAGCGAGTCGAGAAAGCCACTGATGAACTCAGGAAGACCTGCCGAATCGAATGATATGTGATATGACCATCAACCAGCTTCGTAACCTGAGTAGCTCTGACCTGACCTTAACCCACGCCGTGCTGGTGGCCTGTGTTTTCCGTGTCGTACCGGGGAGGCGTTTTCAAGCCCCCCCCCCCCGTTTACCCCGTCTAACAGAATTACTTACCAAAACCGAATCTGTACGTTCGCAGCTCAGGCCTGCGACTGACGGAGGGCAAGGACAAGGAAAAGGAGGAAGACACGGAGCAGAGCTGGGCCCCCACCGAGACCTCCCGGCCTCCCCCCCCGAGACCTCCCGGCCTCCCCACGGCAGTCCCCACCTCCCGGCCTCCCCACGGCAGAAGGCACACAGTGCTCCCGGCCTCCCCCCCCCGGCAGAAGGCACACAATGCTCCCGGCCTCCCCCGGCAGAAGGCACACAGTGCTCCCGGCCTCCCCCGAGACCTCCCGGCCTCCCCACGGCAGTCCCCACCTCCCGGCCTCCCCTCGGCAGAAGGCACTGAACACTCACCGAGGAAGAGCATTCCGAGCTCATCGTCCACATTGGCCACGTGCTCGATCAGTTCTGCGCGCCGGTCCTCTGCCTCGGCCCTCAGACCGGGCGGCACCTCCTCGTACCGGACAGTCTCACTGTGGACAGCGGCGGGTGGTCAGAGGCAGGTGGACAGTCCCACTGTGGACAGCGGCGGGTGGTCAGAGGCAGGTGGACAGTCTCACTGTGGACAGCGGCGGGTGGTCAGAGGCAGGTGGACAGTCTGACTGTGGACAGCGGCCGGTGGTCAGAGGCAGGTGGATACTGCAGAGTTCCCTCCCCGTACGCACCGTCTCCCTGTTCCCTCCCCGTCTCTCTGTACTTGCCGGAACTGCACAGAGACACGGAACTCCAGAGAAAAGTGGTAACATGCATCTATATACACTGTGGTAAGATGGTACAGCCGATACAGGCCAAGCAGTCAAAGTCCAGCTGTTGGTTTCAGTTGACGAAATAAATTACTAAGGAAAAGGAAAAATGAAGATGGCAGTATCTTGGTAAGGATGGTGACTAGCGCATGTGCTGGTCTGGGTTTATCCGGCACCCTATTAGTGGCAGGGGATAGAACACATACAGATTAAGTACCAAAAAATAGCCCAATACCTTCAAAAAAGGAAAAAAGGCCCCAGCTCATCGAGCTAGAAGGACGCAGGGTTGGTGTCGATTTTCAGCTGAATTTACCTGAGGTCAGGTCACTTTCAAGTCGGAAAAGGTCAAATTTTGAAAATAAAATTTTCCACAAAAAGGTGCCTATCAGATGCAATTTGAGCTCAGGAACTCGAAGCTGCTATTTATATTGTTGTACGATGTCAAAAACGTACTGAAAATGGACTTGAAAAATATATATTCGTGAAAGTTTTACTATGACCCCGTTTCCATGGGCATCACTGATACGGATCAGCAAATTTAAATCGTATTATATCTATCGAACTCTTCGTTATATGTTATAATTCCAAGTGGATTAGGCTTATATAAACAGTTAATCCTTTATTTTGATTCTCATATATTGTCTAACCATACTGGATTAGCTAATCCATTTTTACTGATCCGGATCAGTGATGCCCATGGAAACGTGGTCTATAATGCGTATAACTTGGCCATTTTTGAAGATATTCGGCTCAAACTTTCTAGAGTAGTTCATGAGTGGTCTATTACATACATTCCGTTTATTTTTTGAAAAGTCAAAAACTTTTTGAAAAAAATCAAAAATATATGTTTTGTAATTGCATATGAATATTTTTCGAAATTTTCTAAATTTGGAAAATCCGTGATAGCAGTTTGATGGCCACGTTCATTTTCAGTCCACTCATGCCAAGAAATTAGATCTAGCTTGAAAACTGAGCTCTTGAGAGCGATTGCCGTACCTATAACAATGTTTTGCTTAAAAATCGGCCGACATTACGTCACTATGACGTCATTTTCGGCCGACCTGTGGTAGCTAGAAAGTTGAAATTTGGACACAAGGTGTTACATTGATGCTGCTGAAGGTACCGCAAGTTTCGTGTTGATACGTTTGGAAGATATTGCTGAAAGACGGGAGGGGGCTGTGTAGAGCCCCTCACCCCCCCCCCCCCCAGTTATGCGAGGGCTAAATAATGTTTGAGAGCCCAACAACGGCGCCTGTGAGGACCATCACCAGCGAGTTGTGAAAGCTCCACACCGGCAACCCTGAGCGTCCCACACCAGAGCCTCTTAACGTTTTATATCGGCGGCCCTGCCTGTGAACCTCATAGGAACACCTGCATACAAAGAGAGGGCGCAATGTGCATGCATTCGAAAGAGGGGCGCCTGCGTGCGAAAGAGGGAAGCTTATGAGGCCTATAGCTTAGTATGTCCATATGCAAAAGAGGGACGCCCATGAAGGCGATAGACTGACACCTCCATACGAAAGAAGAGCGCCTGCATGCCAAAGAGGGACACCTCCGGGGCCCATAGAAAGAAGAACGCCTGTGAAGCCCAGCTTTGGGACGTCTCAATGGAAAAGAGGGTCGCCTGTGACGTCTATAGAGGCGCCTTTGATGCATATAGGGGCGTCTCCATGCGAAAGATGGGTGTCTGCTTGCGAAAGAGGGGCGCCTGCGAGGCCTATAGGGGCGCCTCTGATGGCTTTAGGGGCGCCTACATGCAAAAGAGGGGTACCTGTGAGGCCTATAGATAGGGTCGCCTCCGAGGCCTATAGTAATATTGTATACCAAAGGGGCACCCATAAACAAAAGAGGGGCGCCAATGAAGGTCATAGTGACGCCTCCATCATACCAAAGAAGGGCGCCGACATGCAAAAGAGGGGCGCCTCTGGGGTTCATAGAAAGAAGAGCGCCGAGCGCCTGTGAAGCCCATAGGGCGCCTCAGTTGGAAAGAGAGGCGCCTTTGATGTCCATGTCCAAAAGGGGCGTGCGTCTCTATGCGAAAAATGGATTCCTGTATGCGTAAGAGGGGCGCACTGCATTCGAAAGAGAGCAACCTGTGAGGCCAGTACAGGAGCGCCGCTGATGCCCATTGGGGCGCCTGCATGCAAAAGAGGGACGCCTATGAAGCTAATAGGGACACTTCCATGCGAAAAGGGGGCACCCTGGCAGCGAAAGAATCGTTTGTGAAACGTTTCTCACGGGTGGTGTGCCGTCTGCAGCAAATGTAGAAGTACTGAAAAGAGAACGGAGAGGAGGGGCGCCTGCAAAAAAAAAAAAATGGTGCAGACTTCCCGCAGTGTCCGCTTAGATGGTTACGCCCCTGGTAGAAACCAGTATAACGCCTTTTGGGGCTACTAACGGAGCGAATGAGAGGGTGGGTCTTGCACGTGCGAAATTGCGAGGGGGTATCTCTAACTGACTTGTGCACGGCACCCTACTAACCGGTCTCTAATAATGTGCCAAATTTCCAGCCGTTCTCGAGATTTGAAAGCGGCACCCTGCACGTGCGCACGTGCAAAGTGGGTCCCAACTCCCAACTGACTTTTGCACAGTACCCTACTAACCGGTCCCTAGCCGGGTACCAAATTTGGGCGCAATCGGTCCAGCCGTTCTAGAGATCTGGAATTGACCCCTGCACGTGCGCACATGCAGCAGCACCCCAACTGTGGCACATGGAAATGCATCGCCTAGTGGGTGCCTCTACCTACATGCCAATTTTCAGCGCAATCGGCCCCGTAGTTACCGAGATATCGTAATTGTTACAAAACTGACACCTCTCCGTTTTGCACGTGGCACGTGCATAAGGGGTCACCCACACGCATCGGGAATAGTCCAATACTTGGTAGAAGGAATGAACATACCCTACAAAGATTACCGCATGTAAATCGGTCAAGTGGCTGCTGAGATATAGGCCTCGCAAAAGCGTCCGCACGGCCGGCCGGCCGCTAATACTCAGAAATTTCCGTTAACCCGCGCCCTGTTGGGGGGGGGGGGGTGTTTGAACACACACACCCTCCCCGCGGTTTTTCGCGAATATCTCAAAAACGGCGGCGCTTATCATACATCTTTTCTACATATGTTGTGAAAATTTCAGACCCAGGTCACCTAACCCTCGCCCGGCGAGGGGGGGGTTGATGCACCCCCCCTGAGGTTTTTCGTAAATAGCGTAAAGAAAGAGAGAGAGAGAGAGAGAGAGAGAGAGAGAGAGAGAGAGAGAGAGAGAGAGAGAGAGAGAGAGAGAGAGAGAGAGAGAGAGAGAGAGAGAGAGAGAGAGAGAGAGATTTCTATATTTGCAGACTCGAGGTTCAATAAAAAAACAGGTACATGTAAGTAAAAGATCACTGATCAGTGATCGGCTATATGCTATATACAATCAGCTATATGCAAACAGTGCAGTGGACCAGGTCTGTCGAATTGACGACAAAAAGCGAAGATCCCCATGAAATAGGGATGCGATGATGCCATTGCGAGATTGTCCGATACGAGTCATGAAGCGAAAAACAGCTTTCCGGTACATAGCCCAGAAGTTATCAATGCGCTCATTCACATACATAGATGAGGCACTACTAAAGCGGTCATAAAGTGCCACACCAAATTTGGCATACCCTCTAGGGCAACCTTTTCGCGCCTATCCTGAAAATTTCAAGTCCCAGTCTGTTCAGGTCAGGTCACCAGGTCACAAAAACCAGTACAAGGTCAGGTGAAAATTGGACTAGTTTAACGGCAACTGAATGACAGAGTTATTCGTTGATAGCGTGGGTGCTATGGCAGGCAGCGCTACCAAATTTCAGACACAACTTGGGGCATCTATTTGACACATGAACTGGGAGTTTAGGATTCCAGTGACCTGAGGTCAGGTCACTAGGTCACACAAACCGGTACATTGTCAAAATGGCACTACAAATGCACTATTTTGTTCATGAAAACTAGAGTTCTTCATAGATTTGATTCAAACTTGCAGGATATGCTTCGGTCACTGAGTGCCATCATATGCACCCCAGTTTTTTTTTCAAATTCGGTTGACCTGAGGCCATCTAGAGGTCATGACAATGTTTAAGGAAATTTGCCCGAATGCGTAAAGATAAGCTATTTGTGCTTCCTTTTACGTTTTTGTGTTGTACTACCTTGATTTACATCTACTTGGTGGTTGCAAGCTGCAAGAACGCTTGGGTCGGGTCAACTGAGGTCAAACTACGTTTTTGCTAATAACCTGGCATACAATGAGGCTAGAGCTTCAAAAATGGTGTCGTTGTGTTCCTTGTGATCAGGCGGTTCCAATGATATGCGATAAGACGCATTTTGATTAAGTTAAACTTAACTAATTACTTTAACCCGCGCCCGGCTGGGGGTCCTGGATTTCCACGCCCTGCTGGGGGGGGGGGTGTTTGAACACCCCCCCTTGTAACTCGGCTCCTGGGCCACGTAGCGATACGCGGAAGGCGGCGTTTGAAAGAGCGTCAAAAATAATGAAGAAATCACTTCGGTCAATTTTTTGGTCAGGTCAAAGGTCAGGTCACCAGAGGTCATTGAAGGCAAAATTTCGCCGATTTCCAGGTCGAATGTCGAAAATTTCCAAGAAGCCAACGCATAACTCGGGAACCAATAGAGCTAGAGCGCCGCGGAAAAGCGCATTCGATAGCCCTATTAACGCCCTTTCTGAGTAATTCTCTCAGATTTGACCTAACGTCAACGGTTTTGGCTGCAGGGGGCAAAAACTGCAAAAATAGCCGATTTTTTCGAAAACAGTTTTTCTGCAATAACTTTTGACCCAAGCCTTGTACGAGCTTACTTTTACCGGCATCGTGTTCCTCTCGTCAAGACGCATCGAATGAACTATAACTTGACCTTGAAAGGTCAACTTGAAAATTTGACCTCAGGTCAAGGTCATGACCTGACCGGAAAGGGTCATGTTGCATATCAGTCGATCCGTATCGTCGAGCTGAACACATCTAAGGCGTTTTCATCGCTCTAGCATGCCTATATCAAAAGTTATTTGCGAAAAACTGTTAGATACCATTCGTGACCTAAGATGAACTCAGGGCATAAACAAGGGTCACGGACACCATTTTCATGTTCAGTGTGTCTAAACCACTTGTAATTCGGTGTTTGGGAGTGTTTATAATGTCTTGCGTCCAAAAGAGGCGCATTTCAATTTTCTCCCATTGACTTATAATGGCGAGGTCGCAAAATTGACCTGACCTTAGGTCATCAATCTTAAAATTCTGAGATATACATTTTGTACATGCTATTGCCCTTAGCAATCGCTGAAAGTTTCAAAGCGATCGGTCACTCGGTGTAGCTATGACAGACATTGAAAGTTTTTATGAGGTGAGGTCACTTCAAGTGACCTGGTGACCTGACCTTGAATGACCTTGGTCTGAAATTTTCACAACATGTGTAGAATTGATGTATGATAAGGTGTACCAAAAACGGCGGCGCTCCGCGCCGCCGTTTTTGAGATATTCGCGAAAAACCACAAGGGGGGGTGTTCAAACACCCCCCCCCCCAGCAGGGCGCGGGTTAACCCTATTAGTGGCAGGCTCCTGGCTACCCCATATTAGTGGCAGGGGGGGGGGCTGTTTACGACCCCCCCTTGATATCTCGAGATCTAACGGGCCGATTTTCAAAATTCAAACGGCATTCGATTTGGCTCAACGAGATCTACATTTCTAAAAAAAATAAAATTAAAAAATGTCAATAGGGGGGTAGAGGGGGGTAAAAAAGGGCAAATTGCAGATACATTTTAGACTGTTTATCACGGCCAGGTTTCTGAACCAATCTTAACGCAACTTTTGCCGATCGATAGAGAATGAACCAGGAATTCACATGGATCCTAAAAATATGCATTTTCAAAAATCATAGGCGGATACAGATCATTGAGATTGGGGGTACACAAAAAGTATAGTAAATAAGGTTTTTGTTGGTACTGTTTCTAAAAAGGGTGGCAATGGTCTTGTTATGTTACAATTTTCTTATGAGAGAACGACTAAAATTGTATTGGTCATGCATAGGCGGTGTCAGGGCACCTATGTTGGGAGGTAAAAAATAACCCTCCTTTTTGGACGCCTGGATCCGCCTATTATAGCAAAAACGTGTCAAAAGAGGATGCACAATAACTTTGTATATGTTATCACATGATACCTTTCATTCACTGTTCGTAAAACTGGTGCAGCATCGTGATCTTCGCCCAAATGACTCGCTTCACGAATAGGACCCCCCAATTCCCAGTGCTCTGGAGCCGCCCCTGGTAAAGTTATGAACTTGAAATTTTCAGGGAATGTGCCCAATTTAGTTTTAGGAAAAGTCAGAAAATTTCAGCATCGTAGCTTCAGCGGTTTCGGAGATATTCCCGAAAAACCTGAGGGGTGGATAAAAACAACCCCCCCCCCTGCCACTAATAGGGTTAAGTTCACTTAATTTTTAAGAAAATGTTGTGTTCACCTAAATTGGTAACAAAGTATATCATTCGATGCGCACGGACGTCCTGAGTTCACTGGTGCTTTTATTTTTGCTCTATCTTTACTAGGTAAGAAGTTACAAGCGAAAAAATGACATGTTTTAGCGAAATTTTTGCACTCACTCACAAGGAACCGCCTCGCATACCCCCCCCCCCCCCAAAAAAAAACCTAAATATTGACTTAGAGTCAACAAATTTTCACGGGGGCGAGATCTCCTACCCTGTTGGAGTTGGACCCACCTACCCTGTAAATTTGGCGTTTCTAAGTGCCATAGGAGCCAATCGCCAGGGGGGTCGTACCAACCCCCCCCCCTCGCCGTCCGTGTTATGGAAAATGCTCTCGCCTGGCGAGGGTTAAGGTCAGGTCACCAAGTCAGGTCAAGTGACCTCACTACATACAAAGTTTCAATGTCTGTCAAAGCTACACCAAGTGACCGAACGCTTTGAAACTTTCAGAGCTTGATAAGAGCAGCAATATGTACAGAATGTACCTATATCTTGGAATTTTGATAGCGATGACCTAAGGTCAGGTCAATTTTGCCGACCTCCCCATTTTAAGTCAATGGGAGAAAATTGAAAGTCGCCTTTTTTTAGACGGAAGTCTTTATAAACACTGTAAAACACTGAATCACTAGTATCCTTGACACACTGAACATGAACATGGCACCCGTGACCCCTTGTTATGCCCCTGAGTTCATCTCAGATCACCAATGGTATCTGACTGTTTTTCGCGAATAACTTTTGATAGAGGCATGCTAGAGCGATGAAAACACCTTAGTTGTGTTTGGCTCGACGAAACAGATCGACTGATTTGCAACTTGACCCTTACCGGTCAGGTCATGACCTTGACCTGAGGTCAAATTTTCAAATTGACCTTTCAAGGTCAAGTGATAGTTCATTCGACGCGTTTTGACGAGAGGAGCACGATGTTGGTAAAAGAAAGTTCGTGCAAGGTTTGAGTCAAACGTTATTGCAGAAAAAACGGTTTCCGACAAAAAAAATCGGCTATTTTGGCAGTTTTTGCCCCCTGCAGGCAAAACCGTTGACGGTAGGTCAAATCTGAGAGCATTACTCAGAATGAGCGTTAATAGGGCTATCAAATGCGCTTTTCCGCGGCGCTGTAGCTTTGGCACACTCGACAGTAAAGCGTTTTAAGGTGCTGTGCAAATAGGTGTGACTGTGCTGGGGTGCACGGTGCGCGTGCTGTACGCGTGCAAACCTTTGAATGTTGCACTTCGTGTCGCCAATGCGGATGAACAGGTAGCATTGGCAAGTTCAAAGTGCCAAATTTACACAGACCACACATAAAACATTGCAGCAACGTCATTGAGTACGGGGTGCGCAAAAAGTAACCCATTTCTGTACTTCGATAAACGAATGCAATCGGAGTGAATATTATCAACGCTAACACCAAATAGTGGTTTGCATTATCAAACCAGATAATTTCACTCACCTCATGCGCGATATAACCCCCTTATTTGCAATGACCTTCTCCACACGGAGGCGGAAAGACCTGCATGTCTTGATGATGTAGGTGGGGTCCTTCGTCTCCCACATCTTCACGATGTGTGCCTTCAGGGCCTCCAGATTGGGATGGGACACTTCCTGGATCTCATCCTGCAAAACGCTCTAGATGCTTTAGTCAAGGGGTTCAGGTCGGGTGACTGAGGGGGCAAAATCTCATTAAGCCAGTAATGGGCTTCTCCCCCGAGCTCCTCCGTTGGCTTGTGCTGGATGGAACTTGCGTTGTTTGCGGGTGTTCTGTCGTGCTGGAAAACGAAATCGACTTTCGGATACGTCTTCAGAATCCATGGGATGACGTCACTGTCAAGCAGACGCTCATATATCGTCCCGTTCATCTTCTAATTGGCGTTGATAAAGACGGTTGGGCACTTTTTGCCGCCCGAGCCGTGGGCTGTCCTGGATGGCATCAGACACGGCAGTCACATTCTCAGAGTTTTGAGAGAACGTGACCGACTTAACCTGGGGGCATCCTCCAGGACCTCCCCTATTCGTATTTGGCTTTGGTACGCGTAATTGTTCGCAGGGGGCTCCAAATTTCATCGCAACCTGCTCAACAGTCATGCCCGATTCGGCCGCCGCGCGGGTATCCAACGACAATGTGACGTTTAGCCTGCCTCCATGACTGGCCGTTTATGGTCTGCTTTGTTCGACATCTGGCTGTGTAGCAGGATCATTAAAGATATTGCGTGCGGCTATTGGCTTCCCGAAAAGCAACCGCAGCTCGCGTAGGAGCGCTTACTGTAAGAGTGTCAACAGTTTTTGCGCACCCTGTATATCCATCTCCTGGTGGACCCCAAAGGTGCGTTCTGCACGTGCAAAAAACAAAACAAAATAGCCGCGCCGGGCGGTGGGGATGTTCGGACACCCCATGTGGACATATGTGAATATCTCAATCTCCCTCGCCAGTCGCCCCTGTCTCGCCAGTCGCCCCTGTCAGTCGCCCCTGTCTCGCCAGTCGCCCCTGTCTCGCCAGCGGTCCCCGACCCCCCCCCCCCCCCCACACGGCCGTCGGCCGGCTGAGCTCGCACACGGCTCGTGTGTGTGTGTTGGGGTTTAGGGGCGCCTCAACTCGGGAGGTTATATGGCGCCCACGGCTCCTCACCCAAAGGCTCCGTCGAAGTAGACGGCCCTGTTGCGGACGAGGTCCACCAGTCCGTCAGTATTGCCCTCGGTGCCAATGGGCAGCTGCAGGAACGCCGCGTTGTGGTTCATCTTGGACCTGCGGCGCGGCACCGACAGGCAGATGGTCAGAACAGAACGTGCGACAGGAGCGGTAGTTAGCCCGTCAGACAGTCACACAGAGACCGTCAGACTGGGACGGTCAGACGGTCAGACCAGTCAGACAGACTGGTGAGATGGGTCAGACTGGGACGGTCAGACGGTCAGACCAGTCAGACAGACTGGTGAGATGGGTCAGACAGGGACGGTCAGACGGTCAGACGAGTCAGACAGACTGGTGAGACGGGTCAGACTGGGACAGTCAGACGGTCAGACCAGTCAGACAGACTGGTGAGATGGGTCAGATAGGGACAGTCAGACGGTCAGACGAGTCAGACAGACTGGTGAGACGGGTCAGACAGGCAGGTAAGACGCTCGGGCGAGTCGCACAGACTGCTCAGACGAGTCCCACAGACTGGTCAGATGGATCAGACAGGCAGGTAATATTGTCAGGCAAGTCGCACAGACTGCTCAGACTTACAGTCCGAGTTATTTACTGTGGCGTGTCCGTGCATAAGTGGCAGGGACACGACAGTAAATAATGTTGTAGAGCGTAATTAAACACCGCGTCGCGCGGCTTCGCTCAGGCGCGCCCTGGGTAAGCCCGGACCAGAGCCGCCCTTGCGTTGTGGAGCGCCTCTAGTTTGTCCGCGCTGGGATCGCCCGTGCGACCCGACCGCGGCCGCGGGGCATTGGCGGAGCCGGCCGGCTGGCCGGCTGTGCTCGGCGCGGCCTGGCATTCGGTGTGCGGCGGTGGACCAATACAGCCTGTGCGGCTTATCGAGCAGTGTCGGAAGGAGTAAGGACCTCGGTAACAATAATGCACAGATAAAACAGCACCGTAAACGGGGGTGACTTTGCCTTGCTGGGTGACTTTGCCATGCTTCTCAAAAAATGCTTTATGGTGATCTCCAGTGATATTTTACGAAGAATGTAATAATGTTTTATGCACAAATGAAAGATAATTGATGGGTCTTCCAACATAACCAGCAATGAGAGATAAATTACCACTAAATACCTAACTGGGCTCCATTTTATTTGAGTCATTGAAATGGTCAAATTTGAAGAGGTCCGAACTTTTTATTATCTAACCATGTTCTAGACCAACTGCGATGCTGAAACTTGGTATGGTTGATCATGACAAGGCTGTTAAAGGGACCCTCCCACCTTAACATTAGTTTTGAGTTGAGATAGCCAAGTTTGCGGCCAGGCTCAGAAACCACCATTTATCCTGGTCGCAACCCCCGCAGCTTTATAGTGTTCAAAAGAAATTTCTTCCCTTTACTTGCAGGGTGGGACCAGCGTAGTCCTTTTCTCTTAACACTAACGGACTCTGATGACGTCATCAAGCCCATTGACCGCGCGTTATAAAATAAAAGTCTTATATTTCAAAAACGGGTGAATATTTTTCGGTGAAATTTGGTAGATGTTCATTTTCGCTCTTTCTGATTCACGGTACATCACTTTTATGCCAATTCATTAACTTTTTTAAGGTGGGAGGGTCCCTTTAAGTTAGCATATCCAACAAAACTGGCATTTGTCACTTCATTTAGCTAACATTTTTGGTGGCGATTCTTCCAAGTGAATTGCAAGCCACATGGGGTGACTTTGCCACCATGTTATCAATGCAAAAATGAAATGCTTATCCGATGCAATTCAAAACAAATTTTAAATGTAGCATCATTTTGATCTCCAAACTGGTTTTTAAAACGTAAAAGTTTATATGCTGAATACTAACACAGGAATGCACAGTGGGAGTATAGAAAGGCAAAAATTACCAAAATAAAAAATGGATGAAGCTGGGCCCAACTTTTCAGCACAGCCATGATTATCTACAACTCCTGAGTTTGCCATTAAGACTGGCTGAAGAAATCTGTATCATCCAGAATTGGAGGATCAAAAGCATGCGATAGCATGCTTTTGCATCCGGAAATTCCCATTGGTGGGTCGCTGAAGAAAAGTTCGGCCAAGCCTGTTTGTCAGTGAGTGAGTGAGTATGTGAGTGAGTGAGTTTGTCCAAGCATTTTTGGACCTGGAGTCAAAATGGGTGGACCGATCGGGACGAAAGTGGGACCGTTCGACTCGTCTCCGGCGAGGTAAACTTTTGGTGCTGGTTTTGGGTTGCTCGGTGCTTCGTGGCACATGCTATTCCGCTTCAAAGTTTCGGTGACACGAAATTTTTTGTCAAGGCTACAGGTCAACCCGAGGTCACAGGCAAAGCCATACTGGCGGGACACATCGGTAACACCTTGAACCAGTTTCCAGGGGGGTCACCGTCTGCGAGGGGTGCAAGCTGCACGTGCTGGGGTCGGAAAACCGTTTTGACGTGATGTCCTCTGGCTCAAAGAAATTTTAAGCTATCAACCTCAAAATCGGTTCAATGGTAGTCCCAAGCAAGGCCTCCAAAATAATGCATATTTGGTTGAGCTAAACTCTGTGGTGCATGAGCTATGCACGTGCAAGCCGATTGCACCCCTTCGTACGTTGCCACGCCTGCAGGGTAAACGGCAGCTCTAACTGGTTCAAAACTTGCAGGTCATAAGAAGAATACATTTGATCACGACATTCCGGCGAGATAATATCCGAGGGGTGCAAGCTGCGCGTGCGGGGGGCGGATAACGGTTTTGACTAGGGATCCTCTGATCCCGGGAAACGTCGAGCTAGCGACACAAAAGTCGGTACACTGATAGAACTAGACACACACTACAGGATGTTATGAAAATGACTGCACTGGGGTGCCGGGGACATGAACTATGCACGTGCAGTTAATTCATATCTTACTGTAGGTAGATGTCCACACTAATCTCACGTGCTTCCAAGCATTTTTTGGATGTTTCGGCTGGTTTCAGGTTCAGTCCAAGCTCAGTCTGGGTTTCGGTCTTCGGTGGTTTGGCCCGGTGTGTGCGCTCAGTCCGTTCCTCCAATTCTGGCCCAAGGCAACGCAAGAGCGCTGCCGGCATCTAGTTTTATAGATCAAAATGCTGATAATAAGGGTGTCGGTATGTTCCCGCAAGAACGTCCTCTTTCTGTTCCTCTTAATGCCGCTGGAAAAAAGCGGCAAGGTCCTAGAGTACCGATACAATAAAATATTTGCTTATTTATCTATTCTGAACCATTTTTCAGTTTTTATTTACTATCAAATCTCAATTATTTTCAACAAATATAAAGTATTATAAAAGCAAGGCATCTCTCCTTTTTTGTACATTGTTTAAGAGCAAAAAACCTCGAATTGTTTTATTTTTTCCTATTAAACAATTAACCCTCGCATGTGTGCGACGTTTGCCAGCTTCTAATGTGTAGGGGGGGTCGGTTGGACCCCCCCCTTGCCGTTTGGCCCCTGATCGAGCTAGAGCTTCGCGGAAAAAACGAGCGTGTTGCCCGTGAGGAGAGGAAGCCGATGATACACAATTTTAAGGTCCTAGGTCATTGGTTGACCTTCCAGGTCAGGTCAATGACCCAAAGTCGGGAAAATCGGGACCTGTTGGAAAGTCGTAAAGTGTGGCTGCTAAGGGGTTTTTCGGGGTGCTGATCACGAATATCGTGTTAGTTTTGATCACAGATGATGTCTTTAAGCATTTAGACCAGGTCGGGTCAGGTCAGGTCAGGTCAACCAGTAGGCGTCGTGACGGGTATTCGTAGTACGTGTCAACCTCCTCTGACAGCTTCGTAACATATTACGAAGTCACCAAAACTACTTCGTAAATGTTCAAATGGTTGCTAAATTCGAATTCAGCTCCAAAAACTAGCCTAGAAACATGTAAAACTCGAAAAAGTGAACCGAGGTCACCCGAGGTCACGAAAGGTCAATGACCTGACCTGACCTTCAGGTGACCTTGACACCCACGGGAGTAACATCAAATCACATGTTTGAACGTTTGAAACCACGAAAAGCTTGCAAACGCGCGGCTAATGCGAGCCGACATACGCGAAATCGCGATTCCGGCCAAACATGGTCTCGGAAAAGAGGTCACAGGTCAAAGGTCATTTGGGTCAGGGTCATGAAATTTTCAGGGTAGGTGTAAAATTAATCAATGGGAGGGTACTGAAAATTTCGTCGCGATCGGCCTCCTTTTACGCGAGTTATTCGCGAAAAACCATGGGGGGGTCCATCCGCCCCCCCCCCCATACACATGCGAGGGTTAAGGATGGTTGTCCTTCCTCATACAATGGAGCAAAAATGCTTGAAAAGTATTTGTTAGCGTTACAAAAACATTATTTGGCATAGTGGCAAAGTCACCCCTTTTTCAGTTAAACTTTGCCACGACTCATTTTCCTTAAAAAAATTATTTTAAGGCAAGATATAAATACGATAATAGCAAAACCCAAATAGCTAATCTTCACCCGTGTTTTGAACATAGAGTCATCCCAATAAGTTAACAAGTTAAAAGAATACAAGCGTCTAAAGTTGAAAACATGGCAAAGTCACCCCCGTTTAAGGTAATTCAGATGCATCTTAATTTCATATATATATATATATATATATGTTTCGTTAACCCTAGAACGCCTAGGGGGGGGGGGTTGTATCAACCCCCCCTGAGGTTTTTTCGAAGTGCACGCTAAACGGCTTGTCGTAGCGGGCTGAAATTTTCACTACCCTCTGGGGCAACCTTTGCGCATCTTTTGCCGAAAAAAATTGATCGGGTCATGTCAGGTCACGGAGTTATGACGTCATAAGAGGTACAGCCTCCGGCCGACAGTTACCAAACGTGTGCGCCGAATCCCTAGGTTTTCTGCCGGTGATACCCACATTGTTTGATGGATCATGATGAAACTTCCCATGCATGTTGGGGCAAGCATTGGCTATCGTGTGGTGCAAGAAAATTGACCGGGTCAGGTCAGGTCACGGAGTTATGACGTCATAAGAGGTACAGCCTCCGGCCGGATTTTCACGAAGTGTGTACCGAGTCCCGAGGTTTTCTGCTGATGCTATCCACATTGTTTGATGGATCGTCATGAAACTTCCCATGCATGTTGGGGCAAGTATTGGCCATCGTGTGGTGC